GCCAGAAGAGACAGACCCAAAGGACTTTCAACACTGACCATTTTACTTAAAAAATAACACACAGAAATCTAGAAGTTTGGTATGTACTTATGTTGCCTTATTGTGTGAAAGATGACATAGTAGAGATGGGTTAAAGTAAAATATGTTCTTTGTGAAATGCCCTTGCAAGTTTTTTGAGTTCTAGTGATGATAAAGCACCAAACGTTTTGTTACTATAGAAGCGTTATCCCATTCACACAGCTGTACAGATTAAGTGTTGGGAAGCTTTGTGTTGTGAAGGTCCCACACTTGCCACATTGCTTTCACAATACCGGAAATTCAGCTTGGGTACTTTAAAGAATCTACCCATGTTTAATGCAAATAAAGAGCAATAGTCAAATGTTTACAAGGTATTTATAGTGTATTATGAAGGACAACGCGAGCCTACCTGACCTACCTCTCTTCTGCTTTTACTTTTAATTATTTATTTTAATCCACTTGCTCCTTGTAAGAAAACAGTACAATATGGGCTACAGTACATATACATAGAAAAGGCTTAATCATTACTTCTCTCGTGCCTGCAAGCAGGTCTATGCACTGTAGTACTACCAAAGGAAATAACATCCTATTTGAGTTGTCCCTGTGAAGCAATGCCATAAATGTTGAAATACAGTAATCTGTGTTTCCACGTCTCTGCCTCTTCCTTATTCAACACACATATTCTTGGAAGTGAATATGAGCCATATTAAATGTGACTCCTGTGCTGGGCTGTAACACGAGCGGTGGTGGTTAGTTTTTATTTGTTTCACAGGCATGTAAATATTTAATACATATACATAATGTGTATATATAAGTACTGTTTCACTTTACTTTAATGAGAATGCCTTTCCTACAAGATTATGTTTAATATAGTTTATGGGTACTGGCATATTCTTAACTATACTATGCAGTAATTTCAAAGTAGTTGGGTGTCTCACAGTCACTGGGTGTCCCTGGATCGTGTGACGCAGACAAGAATATACGAGCTGTTTGTGGTTGGAGATCCTGGTTGCCACTAACTTGATAGGTAAGAAACAAGATGGCAACAGCAGCAGCCTTATCCTGAAATGTATGTTTGAAGGCTTAGCTATGCTCTGCTGTTCTGCGTGTAATTCTTGAAAGCTTGCAAAGACATGCAATATTTATCAACAATTCTCAGTATTATGCATTCAAAATGTTAATATAGTTGTGTTACAAAGATGATTTTTTTTTTCAACTTTTAATAGTTGATTTGTAAAATGCAAATGATCAAATACACTGTTTAGTATGGATAGGGATTTTAGTTTAGTGATGCCATGACTAATTAAAAAGGAATGGTTACTATTTGTGTGAGAGTTTTTAAGCAATAAATTCTTTCGGAGGTTTAAAAATCCCTTGACTCAGTTCAACAGAGCACATAAGGAGTTTGACTTCACCATTGTCTTTACCTGAACCTGGAGTTAGTCCTATCAGAAAGCCCTATTGACAGAATGTGTGCTCCGCATTAACATATACATACATTTAAAGAATCTTTGAGATGTTGGATTAGGCCATACCCCCTTCTCTAAAGACTTGACTAAGGACTTTCTGCATCAGCAGTGTTGTATGGTGGACTTTCTTTGAACTCAACCGACTTAGGAGTCTTTCATCTTCAAGTAAGAAACATTCAGATGCATAACATTGCAGTATATAGTAGTTACTATAATTTACTGCAGAGCAAGTGATTACATGAACATTGCACATGTCTGTTGTTGCCCAACAAGTGCACCCCAGCTGTCAGAGCAAACAGGCCCATCCGCTCCCTCCTCCACACTCACGTCAGAGACACACTCCTCGGGAAGTGATTACATTTTATGAATCAGTCTTACGTTTTAGGTGAAGTACACATTTCCTGCAACTTCATCTGATCTGTACTACCAATGTTATGTGCCTTAACTCTATCTCCTCATCCCTCTCTTATGCTATAAAATGTTATAGTTTTTCCTCTGTTGTGAAATGTGAGATGTTTATTTGTCCTCCCATTCACACATTTTTTTTCTAGATGAATACGGAAACTGCGCACACAAGTCTTTGAATATTTCAACAAAGGAAGTTACTAAGAGCTATTACACAAGCTGTGTCATACTCAATTTTGGTCAGCGTGACCCTATTGTAAATGTGAGGGGTGACCCATGACCTTTTGAGAAGACATGAAATGAGGGGAACCTCCCATTTCCAGCTCAAAAGCATTGTGGGAATTAGAATGAATTTTCACCAACTTTTCAATATAATTGAAGAAAATAGTTGAAACAAAAACAGAACATTTCTCAGTTCTCTCAGTCCCAGGATAGTACTTGAAGAGTGGTGTAAATTACAGCCACCTTATACTATAAAACTGTTTACTGTGCCTCTCTTGGTTTTCACTAAGGTTAATGATAGTCAACACAGATGTTCCTCTTGCTCTTTTCCCATGCCTACCTAATCTGCATCTGTGTTATCCTTTGCAATGATCTATATTTCAGTTGCACTGGTCCCTGTTCTATTCAGAATACACTGTAATACGACTTTCATTTTTGGGCATCAAAGTTACTACTTTTCACTGCTACTGTCCTTCCTGCCACCTTTCCTGACAGTGCTGCACCTTTTCCTGCAGGATTCGTCATGTGCTGAGCCAGGCGTGCCGTGTGACCCCCTGTAACAGAGTGGGTGGTTTGGGACCAGGACAGTGGAGGAAGAGGAAGTCATGTAAGATAGAGGAAGCAATGGTTGTTAAGACCTTGAACCTGGTCTGCAGTTATCGACAGAGCCATTAGTTGTACTGCAGTTTGCCGGCAGTAGTGATGAACTTAGAGTATAGGACTAGGATATGAGTGAGAAGGTCTGTGGGCGTGGGTTAGAACAGGGCTTAGGTCATAATCTGGTGCACGCAAGCATGAGGTGGGACATTTCCGATATTCTCAGTAAAACAGACATGTGGGGTCAGGTTGCAGTAATAATTTTCCCTCTCACACAGAGCCATACACAGGACATTAACAGTGGCTTTAATGCTCAGGATGAAGATGCATATCTCTGACACTGACCACACACAGATCCACTGCGTCCTCATAACTATGGCGTCTCGTGTTCACTTCTATTTTTACCAACAGGCGCTGAAAGCCTCTTGAAGCTCGTTGTCAATGGGCATCTCATTCCAGCACCAACAGCATGTCACCATTTATTAAGTCGTCATTACTTATGGCCCTGCGCTGCCGCTCTGCCTGGGAGTGTCGCAAATAGATCAGTAAAGATAGGTTTCTGCTCTTGCCAAAGGTCAAGCCATGAGCGGGCGTGTTGCGGCACATCTCACTCCAGCCGTGAAGATCAATGCAGGTAGCAGCGCTGCCATTAGTTTGACCAATGCAGATAAATGCAGCTGATGGGGACAGTGCAAAAAGACAGAGGTCGATGAGCAAGACTGTCCTCACTACGCTCTGTTTTGGGTAAACAAATAAAAAGCTTGTTTGGACTAAAGGGGTGATGAGTTACAGGGCCATGGGAGAGGGAGCTCAATGACCAGTGTGGATGCAAACAAGGCAGGCTTTGTCATGTAGGTAATGATAAGAATGCTTACACTGGTATTACAAAACTGCTAAGTATGAATAATTTTTTATTGAGTAATTGTTGCCTCATAAAAGTTGTTGGAAGAGTTTCTTTTTCCAAAGGTTTGTTGCATCAAACTTAAGTCTCTGGATACTGCCCTTACTCGTCCAACCTTTAACAAAACATTGTCTAATACAAAATGCATTTGTTATTGCTAGACAGTCAGTATTGTTATGTCACTCTCCCACAGTCTATATATTAGCCTCATTCTGGATTTTTCTTCAGGCTTCATAGGTGTGTAAGTTTACACATCAGCACCCGGGTTTATCAAAGCTGTTATCACCTCTCCACTCTCTGTGTCACCCAGAGAGAGGAAACAGGAGGTGCCCACACACCTGCACTGGCCTTTGGGGAGGAGGGAGGGCTGAGGGAGGCAGGGGGCACTGTGTGGTGGTGTGTGAATGACTCTAACAGAATTCAGTATAGGCTTCACAGGTGAACTAAGTGTTCCTCTTAACTGGCAAATTAATTCTCAATGGGAAAAAACAACCCCCTTTGTTAAGTGTTCCAATCAAATGTACAGTGATTCTGTGAATAGTAGTTTAATCTGTGGCTTTATCACTGTAATTAATACAAGACGTAAAGCTTTTATGACCTTAAGGAGGTTTATGTTCTTTGTTCTGGTTTATGTTTCTCAGTCATTCCTACCAATACCTCCAAGACCACCAGGATCATTTGTTCCTTTTGTTCGTTAGTCCTGAGGTAAAATAACTTACAATTTGACTTAAAATAAACCTTATACTATCACTATACTAAACTATTTTACCAAGTACAATCAGTGTACAGTGACAAGGAGAATGAGCGATAAGTGAATATAGTTAAACTTTTATTTCTCTTAACAATTCGGAAATTGCATAGCTCAGCAAACTTTTCAAAACATAAAACCTAAAATAAATGTAGTGTAATGAACAAAAGTAGGTTATTCTAGGTCATAAAATGAACAAAGAACAATGAAAAAGTTCGCGAGTGATTGTAAAGTAGCTCTTTATTCACATTTTTCATAAAAAATCTATGATCTACAATCTACAAGTAACTTATTACTGTGTTTTTTTTCACTGTTGCTTAGTTGCTGTTTTATCACAAGATAGATTGTCTTGCCAAGTGTTTGTGGCTCCAGGGATCCGTGAATTGTTGCATGAAAACTGAAGGATATTTTAATATTACAAATAAAATATATATGTAAAAATATGTACTGGGGACACAAACTATAAAAATGTGCCGTCTGATACTTCCTTTGCGCTAAACTGGCTTCTCATCCCTCCCACTCCTCTCTGTCAGCTGCTCTTCCTCCATCCCCTCCCCTCTCTGTGCTGGACGCGCTCTCTCTCTCTCTCTCTCTCTCTCTCTCTCTCTTTCTCTCTCTCAGCCAGTCTGTTGAAGCTGCACACAAGGATTAGAGGCTCGCTGGGAGACAAGCAGCCAGAAGACACACAGATAACAGCAAGAAAGGATAGTGTGGTAGATAAAGCATTTGATATTATTTATTTTTTCTCTTAAGATACTATACTTCTCAGTCTATAAAAGAAGAGTCTACCTGGAGCGGGACAAGCCAAATGGACAACTATCCTAACTGGACATCCACACTGGGAGCCATGTGATCCGCACCGCTCTACCCACTTACCTCTACTCAGTCCCCCCTTGTTTTATACTCTGTGCTGGGAAACCAAAGGATTTTGTTCTTACCTGGAGCCACCACTTTGAGGGCTGGCGTTGTGAGGGACTAACCCCAGGGGAAGACGCTCATCTTGGGGCACTGGTTGGAGTGTAAGTGCCCCCTGGTCTTGGAGGGCCAGCCAACAGCACTCCACCCGCACCATGGATTACCTGTTGGGGATAGTGGTGTTGCTGTGCTCCGCGGTGCAGCCACTGAGAGCACTGGAGCCAAAGCACACTGTACCCAGGTTAAAGCTGTCATTCAAGGGTAAGTCCACTGCTGACTCTGGGACATTCAAAATCACGCTTTTATCCTCGCACCAGCTGGGCCACTAGTTTGACTTTTTGCCCGTGGGTGCTCTTTCCTCCTCATTCATTGTGTCCCATGTTGAGTAGTAGCCTTTCCCCCTCTATTTCTGTAAATGCCTTTTCCGGGCTCATTGTTGGTCACTACACTCTAAATATATTTTTCTCCCTCTCCCATTAACTTGCTGCTTCTTGCTGACTTGTATGCATCAGATGTGCAGTATTCGTTTTACAAATAGTCAGATTGATTCCATATGGTGAGGCAGGGGGCTTGCCTCAAATGTATATATATATTGGCCCTTATTGGACCATTCTCCCATGTGTTGTCCCTTCTGCTAGTACAGTTCAGACCAGCTATAAGTGGCTCTTTTTAATGGCTTCTGACCCAAAACTCCTAAAATGGGTGTTACATTTGACAGTGGCATTTCTTTATAGGTTGTTTCATGCTTCTAATTACCACATCTAGCATTTCAGGGTAGTTTATTCTTCAATGCAAAACTATTGATTTAAATCCGTGGCGATAAATCATTTTTGCAGACTGGAGACAGAAAGGCAGCCACGTACTTATTGGGTCTTTTTATGTGTAAGTTTTTGACGTACACAGCAAACATGTTATTCTCACAGCTTGTATGTTATTTTGAGGGGAGACTGCGGAGCGCCGGCTCTTCCTCTCCTCCCTCCTTTGCTCGCCCGTCCTCTGTCTGGTCGTCTCTCTCACACCCTACGCTAAATCAGGCTCTTTGTAATAGCAGACTTTTCATCTTTAGGCTAGAAATAACCCGTAACATTTCTGGCATATTTTAGTAGTACGCTTTTTCTCATTTAATGTCAGTGAAAAGTGGTCATTGTGGGTTGATGTCCTAAAACAAAATTGAAAAGTATATGGCTCAGCGTGTGGTCTGTCAGTTCTGCATTTTAGTGGAGATTTTTTCATGAAAACAGGTTTTATGTGCCATGCTCAAACATCTGAGAACATGCTTGTGGACTCTTCCTGTGTCACCCAAAGCTGAGGTTGTTCAGATAAATCTAACCCACGTTGAGAGAAAATTGTATTTTACTCCTGAAGAGAGTCAATTTGATGTGTGTCACTCTAATTGCTTGTCTAACTTTAGCCGTCTCACTTGCTATAACGTATGTTTAGAGGCTTACGATATGACATGCTTTATTCTTTATACAGAACACAAGTTGTAATTTTGGTATTTTTTCTCTCTTTTGAATTGAAAAGTCAATTGTCCACAAAACACTTCTTACATTCTTCTCATTTGGAAGGGTGCAGGGTGGCGATAAATTTAATAGGTGATGACACACGTTAACCAGATGATCAAATCAAATCTGGAAAACATCACAGCCAAACTTACCTGCATAAAGTCATAAATCCCCAGAGCTCCATCATGTCAGTTCACACGAAACTGAGCCTCAAGGCATGATGGGAAAATGTCAGCCATACTTTAAACCGCCATCTGTTTAAAGAATGTGAGTTAGGTCCTGATCCTCTGTACCGTTCAATATGAACGTTAACATTGCGATGACAACAATACGAGACTAAAAGTATGTCATTAACTACACTGGATGGTGCTAGTGATGGCTGTGTTCATATAGAAGTTCATAGTAGACAAGTTGTAAAATTAAGCAAAAGTCAAAATTGAACAAAGGAAAATGCCCCTATCTCAAAAAAGAGGTTCTATACTTCAGTATAAATGCAGTTATTTTAGTTTATATAAATGCTTTTAAATTGATTCACAATATTTTTTGTAAAGAATCAACCAAATATTCTATTTTTTTTCATTCTCTTTGTCAATGCTTCTCACCATTTTCAGTACTACATGCCAGCCATTGCATTATTCATTATTCCAGACGCCCTTCCTAACGCAAAACTTTCAATTTATCTGGGCTTTAAACAAGCACTATAGATAAGCTTGCTTTTGGCCTAATGAAACCTTTGTTTTGGAGTTTGAAACTGTTTCACAGTAAAATATGGTTAGCAAAATCCTCTTTGTTAAGCATTTTCAGTTTCATTTTAAGAACGTGTTACCAATTTAGAAATCTGTCAGCTCTGGCATGTCTCCATAATGTAACACCTGGTTGAGCCACTTAGCTGCTTTTTGAGGCTGCAGACTTGGCGTTTGCATTGTCTGTGAGCACATTTGGATGTGCTGGTTCTAACTGCTGTTGGGTTGTGCGCTCTCTAGTGTGTCAGCGTCTTTGTGTCACTTCTCACCAGCGTCTGCATGTGTCTGTGTGTTAGCGGGGCCCACAGGTGTTTGATGGCTCTTTGGATGCCTGTCAGAGGACAATTCACAGCTAACACCCACGCAGATGAGGAGCTAAGGAGGGAAGGGGAGGATGTAGGAGGCAGGGTGAGAGCCACACAAGCAGGCCAGGCCATCAGCTTTAATGAAGGAAATGCTGGCAGACTTACAGTAGACGACACAGGAGGAAAAGGGAGACTAGTTGTTAAGTGAAGTGTCATTCATCTCCCTCTCGCAGTGCAAAGCCGGCATAGTAATTAAGTCAAATAAACAACAAGGGAGGAATCCTCTTGGGGAGGATAGTCAAGCAAGCGCTGAGCTCAACAGTCAGCTAGGCCCTTAAGTTGGACACCGAGAGAATGGGAGAGGAGCAGTTGTACTAGCCTCGAGCAGCAGAATTGATTTATACAAGTCTCTTAAGCTCAGAAACACAAAAAACATTCACTTTTTCTTTTCAGTTTTACATAGTTTGGTTGGTGTTGTTCTTGTATGGGTAAATAGTGTTACTAAACACTTCTCCTTGCAATCTCTTGTATATAGCTGAGAAATAAATTTGTTTTACTATATTACTATTTTTGTTGTTGTTATTGTTGTTTGTTCTTGTAGATTATATATATATATATATATATATATATATATATATATATATATATATATATATATATATATATATATATATATATATATATATATATATATATATATATACACACCAGTCTCTTGTTATATTTGCTACTTATTTTGAATTAATTATTACCATGTATATTTTTGCTCTTTGTTATTGTAAAATATAAAATATTGTGATGTGCGGGCTGAGTCCAAATAATTTCCCTTGTGGATCAGTAAAGTTTGTTAAGTAAAGGTTGTTACTTTAGCTCAAGTTACCTGTGAATATTGTACTGTCTTCAAGAAGTCTTCCCACAGAAATGTTGGCTATATTTTTTTTTTTTTTTAAAAGGAAGACATTTGTCTGGGACACTAGGTTCAGATAATTTGGTTTGCAGTTGGCTTTGGCTACCATACACAAGTATTATTCATCATACTTCCTCAGAGTGCAGTGTCTTTTAAACGTGTACTTTTAAGCGTGTTCTATCATTGAGTAATCTTTTGGCTTTGGCATGGTTTGGTATTTGCAGTTGAGCATGTGAGCCCAGTCCCATGAAATCCCTCTTAAGTGGGTGCTGATGACATGCCTCCAGGGACACTTCTTGTCTGACAAAAATGAGTGATTTTCAACTTTTATGCAGGAGACAGGCCCATGAGTGCAGAGTGGGCAGTTTGAGAGGAAGGTGCTTAGGAATGGCAGCAGGTAGATACAATGACCTCTCCAGGGAGTGACTGCAAGCAACTGCACGGTCAATGATTTCCCAGTGGACATTGAGAAGGATGTGACCGTACAGGACACAGCCATGATCACACAAGTTAATGATTTTCTCTTCTCCTTCATACTGAAATGGCTTTTACTCATCTTAAGTAACATGAGGAGATGAACAAACTTGTGTCAAATAATCTTGCTCAGGTAAAGTAAAGCATGAATGAAGGTTTTGAAGGTTTCTTTTTAGTTTTCATCTGATTAAAGTGATGATTCAGTGTCACTAGTTTTGTAAGTAGTTCTAGTAAAATGCATTGCAAACGGGTATTAAAGGCAAAATATTATACAAAATTTACTCTTGTGAGCTTTAAGCCATATTATAACGCTGTTACCTCATCAAAAGCATACCTGGAGTTGTGTTTTGTTTCTTTCACACATGTTTATTATTAGTTTGCCTACATCTCCAAAGCTCAAAAGGCTCTGTTCCACCTTGTGATATCATGTAGTGGTCGTCTTCATATTAACAGCTCCTTTTGTTTAGTTGAGACAGACAGTATCAGGGCTGAAATTATCCAAATTATTCTAGTGAAGGTGTATGTAGTTTTAAAACACAGTGGAGCACTTCCTGTATTACCACATGAAAAGGCTGAACAGAGTGTTTTCTGTTTGAGAGAAGAACTCAGCCTAAATATACAGAGTTTGTGTGTTAAACATGTGTGAGTGAAACAAAACACAACTCCAGGTTTGTTTGTGATGAGGAAACAACATTATAACAGATCTAAAAATAGTGCAGTGTGGGCCCTTTAATACGCCTCTTTTGATGGCATTTAAGATTAGTTTTGATACTGTTAAAAGTGTCAACAATTATTCATTTATCTTCACTTTATTTACTGGCTTTTGATTGTATCTGATATATGTCAAATGCCCTCCAGCAAATGTCTGCACTCTCCCATTGATCACTACATATCTCCACTCCATCACATTTCTCTCCCATTGTACAGTAAGAAACAATCAGGAGGAACACTGACCCCTAAAGGTCAATTGATGCATCCGCACCAGACTGTCGAGTAAATGTCACTACTGGAGACTGCCAATAAACCGCAGCAGTAACCCTATTGTGATCTCTCAAAAGGTTGCCAGAGACAGCCACAGTGAAAGTCCAAAGTACTCATTAAAGAACATGATAATTAGTAAAGGCCCTGTTAATTATGTAGCCTGCCGTTTGACCTTTTAATGCCTTCAGTAACCCCCCCCCCCTTTCCTTGCTTGATGGTTTAGTGGGTTGAATGAAAGACAGACTGAGAAGGAGACTTGGGAATCTGGAACAGGCTTGCAACCTTTCAAAATAGATACTCAATGCAGAACCGCACAAAATGCAGACTGGCTCTAGTGCCATAATAA